GATTTTCAAAGTCCAATCACATGATGACTGGAAGGCAAAAAGACACCACACCATTTTTTGTCTTTTTTTGCGGAAAAAAACCCTTAGATCTATTAGCAACACCAGCAATACAAACAACCCCCAAAGGAAGAAAATTACACCAAGGTCAAAGGGAGTTGACTGCCTCCATATTCCAGAACGGGCCGGTGGCGCGCCTCCACCGATGCTCCACTGCCGGAGCCAACATGTCCATGTTAGTGGCGGATGGGAACTTGCCGGTCCCCGATCCTGTCGGATCATCGCCATGGAGAAAAGAGTCATCGATGTCCAATATGCCACAAGTCCAAAAGAGCTCCGCCCACGCACAAGCGGATGGCACCACGGGCAGAAGCATCCTAACCTTGCCACCCATAGTACGTCAGGAATTTACGCCGAGGATCCGACGATTCCATTTGGATCGGTGAAGTTTTAGTGGATCGAATCCGAGCTGACAAACTCCCTATCACATCGCTGCCATCTTCCAAGCGCCGATGCCACGAGAAAAAAAATCCTACTGTCACGCATGAGCATCGAGAAGACTAAGCTGCCAGGTCCTTCGCGCCGCCCCATGAGACGTCATGGTGGAGGTGGAATGACATCACCTTATTCTGACGGGGCGCCATCACCGCTACCGTGAAACCTAACCCTAACCCTATATACAAGCCGAAAGGGGAGAAACGGGGTTCTCCCACCTCACGCTGCCCATGTCAGACGGAGGGGAGAGGAACTGTCAGCATCGCCGGCGCTTGACGTGAGTGACGCGGTCGCTTGCGGTTTTACCTCTCACACTACAACAGGGGAAACCTACTTAACACCAAATCAAACTAGAGACAAAATCTACTCTTTCGCGAGGTATTCTCCCTAGAGTCTTTATGCAAAGCTTGGAAACAACTACATTTTTTCTTTCTTTCCCAATGCTTGGGCATTAATTGGATCACTTCCAACTCAAAAAGAGTGTACCAAGTAATGTTTGGAGCAAGAAAAAAGTTTGGAACCCTTCCAAAAATTCTCAATGACCAATGAGAGCCAAAGAGGGGGTTTTGAAATAGTTTTCAACCAACAATTAACACGTCTCTTGAAATCTCACTAGCCGCGTCATTGCTCCAAGTGCAAAGATGGATGTGGCAAAGCCCGAAGAAAATTTTCTAATACCCGGATCATCCTCAAACTATTTCCGCACAACCGATGTGATACAATTAGCTCACCTTTTCACACAGCAACAAACTGAGATAATTAGGTGCGCTTGGGCATTCGTTCCGCCGAGGCAGGTGCTATGGTGTGGGCTGGTTCCCATTTGATGGGAGCAACTAACTAACTATAACTTCGGGGGCTCTCGAAAAGGTCTTTTTTGTCTGAGGGCACCAAGTGATGCGCTTAGCGGCCGACATGTGCCGCGCACTCACGCTCCCTCTAGATTGTGATATATTTTTTACGGGTCTTCAGGTTTTAGATATTTTTTCATACTTTTATTAGCTTTTGCCCGGGTTATTTAGGTTTTGGTATTTTTTTTTGGAAAACAGTGTTTTCCATGAGAAGGATAGCATATACATCTACGAGAAGCATGACTGTGGTTTCTGAAATGATAGAAAAACGCAACTCGTGCTTCTACGAGAAGCACAACCCGTGCTTGCACGAGAAGCATAACCTACACTTGCACGAGCCGTGACTTTTTCCTTTTTTAGGAAGCACAACTATGCTTCCCGAAAATGAAAAATCACATCCCGTGCTTTTGCGAGAAGTGCAGTTGTGCTTCCTGAAAAGGAGAAAGCACAGTCTTGCTTAAAAAGGGTGAAAAGGCACAACTGTGCTTCGGGTTTCCATTTTTTGGTTTTCGGACAATTGCTCCTCTTTTTACGGGTTTTCATTTTTTGATTTTTTTTATTTTTTTTCTTATTCTCGGCTTTCGTGAAAAAAAGTTCAACAAAACCTATTAACACGAGATCTAGTTTCGAAGATCGACATGAAATTTAACGGTGAAAACAATTTGTGATTTGGACACACGGTTCAACAGATAAACCATTTTGTAACAGAAACGAATGTATGAAAAGAAAAACTTCCAGGTTGTGACATGAAGTGTGCCACTTAGCACCAAAGAAAAGTGGACTGACGTTTACAAGGGCTACCCCTTAATTAGTGATCTCGCTATTTGGCGCCTTAAGCGCTGGTTCTGATAAAAAGCGCACCCTCCACCTACCTCCCGGAGAAGCAAGTTTTGTTGTGACGGGCCCATGTAGGGTAACACTTTCTCGCTCAAATAATACACAAGTTCGCATCGTGCGTGTTCTTTTTCCCACCGATTTTGTGAACCTTCTAGAATGTGTTACCTTAACCTTTTGAATTCCATGAGTTTCTTTTAAATCCGCAGAATCCATGAACCTTTTCAAATTCATGAACTTATTTGAAATCTACAATCTTTTTTATGAATTATTTAACCTTTTCAATCCACGCCTTTTTCCAAATCATGATATTCTAAATTCGTGAACTTTTTACAAATCTCAAAACTGATTTTTAAATTCGTTCAGTTTTTTAAACCCATGATCTTTTTTTTTGAATTAGTGAACTTCTAAAAAAATATGAACCTTTTGCTAGACCACAAACATTTTCTCATTTCCTTTTTCTTAAAAAAACTGGTAAATGAGCAAATCAAGCAGGCGACGTGGGCGACAAAAGAATAAAGGGCCAGCAGGCATTTCTTATTCGGCGCCTTCAGCGCCCGTTAACGTACATTTGGTTAATTGGCGATGAAGGCGCTCTTACCGGGTTGGCCCATCCATGGGTGCAACATGCAGCCATTTGTTTTCTGTTTTTTGGATTTTGGTTTTTCCTGGACCGGTCTTGTTATGTTTTTTCTTTTCCTTTTTGTAATTTTTTATTTTTCTATTCTTTACTTTTATCTTTATTTGTAATTTTAAAAATTCACAAATTAGGAAACTTTTAATTAAATTCGATGAAGTGTTTTCTAGAACCCATGAAAATTTTCAAATTCGTGATTTTCTAAACGGCTAACTTTTTTTGAAATTCATGATCTTTTTATAAAATTTAGAAAATATTTTCAAATTGTGAACTCTTTTGTAAAATCAATGAACTTTTTTCAAAATTGATGAACCTTTTAACTTTTTTTCTCTTTTCAAAATTGCTGTACTTTCTTTTCAGTATTTGTGATCTTTTCAGATTTGATAACTTGTTTTAAAAAATCGATGAAATTTTCAAATTCATGAACCAACTCGAAGTTTGTTTAAAATCTATGAATATTTTTTGATTTATTTAATCACAGACTTGCAAAAGTCAAAGTTTGACCGACAAACCAAATGCCAATGGGCTGGCCCATTCTTTCAGGCTAGTGGTCGTCAGATCTGCCCCTACTAGGAACTCCCGGGCTAGCAAGCAACTAGATTCAGGTGAGCGAGCGACTCAGTGTTATTGGGGCGCTAATGGCACTGGGGAAAGCTAACCCCAACCTCACTATTTCCATCATTGCCCCAAGCGCAAGGCTGATATTTGCTCTTATACCCCATCATCCTCAATCTAATTCTGCACAACCGATGTGGTACAATTAGCTTTTTTTTTGAGACAATGGTACAATTAGCTGTTGTAGGAGAGCAACCTGAGTTAATTAAAGCAAGCAGGCCAATTGGGCCACTAGGTACCAGCTTCCTTCGTGTTTTTGAGCCTACATGCAGTTGGGTCCAGTACTTGGGTCCGTCTCTCGGCCCATCGCACCATGTATAGATGATTTGTTTGATCAGCGGCCTTGTTAGTACCATCAGAAAAGAAAAACTTGCCGGTACACACAGAAAGAGGAAGAAGAAAGAAAAAGAAAGAAAGAAAGGAGAAAAACATAAGTAGCAACATTCTAATGACTCGCGGCGATCGAGATTTTCTCTATTCTGAATGCAGTACAGACAGACTATACAGATTTTCTGTATTCTGAATGTGCAATTTAGGCTACAGTGAGCGAGCAGAACCTCGAATTAATCTTTATATTATAGGACACGAGGAAGAAAATTAGATTAAGTTGCTCTCCAACCTAACACGCCAACTATAATAACACCAAAAACAAATGTAAAGAGTGTCACGTAGTTGTCGACAAGCTTGTTTTCTGGGGATGGTCTCTCTTATGCTTATCGCTGAAACTTTTGCCCCCTGCATTCTTTTATTAGAGGCCAGTGGCAGTATCTCAACCCTGACGATAAAGCCATTTTGTTTGTTTAGGTGCCAACAAAGCATGCACGAACGATAAGTCGATAATAATCAAATAATAGCAGATACAGCATGGTATGGCCGCACAATATTCTAAAGAGATGTATACCACATCTGTGAGTTGACAATCATATGCACTACACATTTCCAAATTTTTGTCAGAATGGACCACCCGCCGAACACAATTGACAGAAAAGACCATCTCTAAATAACATTGGCAAAACAGACCAGCTGGGTTGTGGCGGCAGGCAAGGCAGCCGACACGTGGCGCCTGCCGCCACGCGCGGAGGCGGCAGGGGCTGCCGCCACAGGCCCAGGCGGCAGGTAGCCCACCACAGGATTCAGCGAACGAAACCGATGCGTGACGGAACGGGGCGCTGGGCAAGTGGGCCCTGCCGCCTGCTGGTGTGGCGGCAGCACCGTAAGCGGGCTAAATTCGCTACGCGCGCAGTGCAGCAATAGTGTGCACGGTCCGTCTGATCTCATATGATGATGGGCTGATGGCCATGGCGAGCGAGCTAGCAAATCTGAGGCTGTTTGGTTCAGAGCCTCAGCTCGCCACGCCTAAGATGAGGCGTGCCACGACTTCGTAGGCAGGCGTTTGGTTCTCCATCAAGGTTAGGCTCGCCACAGCGCCATAGAGCCTTTGCCGCAGAAAAATTCGCCAAATGTATGGCGCTCGATTTGCCCGTCATACTCGCCGCAGCGCGCCAAAGAAGCCGTGAAAATCCCCGTGGGCCTGATTAATAAAGTCGCCGCTTCCCTGTTTCCTCCCCCAAAACTCTGCTTCACACAATCTCCACCGCCATGGATGAGAGCCCTTCTCTCTCCTGACCGATCCAACTGAGAAGGAGCTCGCCGCTACAATCGACCTTCTCTTCCCTGGTAAAAATCCTCACCACCGCAATAGTAATCTCCGCCATCTCCTCTATCTCATCACCTACTATTCATCTCAAACATGCAGATCTGGGCGTTCTTGTTTTTTCAAGAGAAAAATAGCAGCCTTCTTCCGTGATCTGCAGGATTTCCTAGTCTAGCAGCTGCTTGGTTTTGCCTCTCTTGCATCTACGAGATGCAAGAGCTATTCACAGGCACTAGTGCTGATGGTTCTTTGGCCATGGACCATCATACATGCACAATTGATTCTCATGACTCGGATAATGATGAAGGGTTGTATGACCTTAATTGCTATCCACAATATGACTATATGAGGGCCCTTTTGAGGAGGATTCTGACACTTTGCCAACAACATATGGTCTTAAAAGACCTCCAGTTCATGTACGTGCTGATAATTCCTCATCTAGCACTAGCCGAGTTGGTACGAAGCGCCCAAGAGGTAGCAGGTCACCTAGTAAGAAGCGACAAAAAATCAAGAGTCTTTTGCGGAGTCCGCTGAAGAAATCAACTCTACATTGAAGTCACTCCAGCAATCTCTTGCTGCCCCTGCTCCTCAAATGCCCCAAGTTATTGACCCATATGCTAGTTTATGGCACAGGTTGGAGGTACTCCCAATTACCATGGATCAAAGAGTTACTATTGGTATGCACTTGTCTAGCAAGAACAATGAAGGTTTGCGTGGTTGGTTATGTTGTGCAAGTGACAAAACTTTTGAAACTTGGGTCTGGAAGTTCTTTGACAAAGATGATGTTTAGGAGATAGCAACCTGTGTGGTTTGCTAGTTGCTCACGTGTGATGTTTAGAAGATGGCAACTTTTGGTATTTAGGAGATTGTGATGTGTCTGCTCGCTGCTTTTGGGAGTTGAACTTGTGCTACACCTATTGATCTGTTGATGTGTAGCGAAACACTTTAATGTAAGGTGGCTGGAACTTGTGCTATGGTTAGGACTGTTACTTCATGACTTTATGAATGATGGCTGGAACTTGCATGCATCTATCTTATTTTGTATCTTGATACTAAATTGTGGTTGTGACTTATTTTGCACAGATGGTATTTAACGGAAAATGATCCATGTTATTTTTTGTGGCTATTAGTAATGTGACAAAATCTTCTTACATTTACTAGAGCATGTTGTAATCTGATTGGTTTGTAACAAAAATGGCATAATCTCACCACTCTAGCACTAAGGTGATTCTAACCAGATGTGGCAGGAAACCAAACATAAGCCACAGATTTTTGCCAAACATGTGTGGAAGCAATCCAAACACACACGACACAAAATCTGCCACACCTAACCTAAGGCATGGCTACCAACCAAACAGTCTGATTTTGCCACACATTGTGGCAAGCCACACTTGTGGCTAGTGACTAACCTTAGGTGTGGCAATTTGAGTCTCCAACCAAACAACCCCTTTATTTTTCACAGTGACCATACATTAGCCCATGTCGCCACACTGTAGATGCGTCTGGCTCTCTTGGAAGCTTTTCACAGCGACCATGCATGACCCTGGAGTACTTGTCGGACACTTGGTTGGATCAGCACGGAACAGGCTAAATCCAGTGCACAACGATGCATCTCGCATGGAGGAGCTACAATGCAAAGGAGCACAACCTTGCACAGTGCTGCCACCACATCAGCAGGTGGTAGGGCGCTCCGTTCCGTTTCGCGGTTGCTGAATCCTGTGGCAGGCCACCTGCCGCCTGGCTCTGTGGCGGCAGGGGCTGCCGCCTCCGCGTGTGGCGGCAGGCGTCATGTGTCAGCTGCCGAGACTGCCTTCACGATCCAGCTGGTCCGTTTTGCCAATGTGACTCAGGGATGGTCTTTTTTTAGAGCAACAGGAGGGGGCAAAGCCCTCCCGGTTCCATATATATATATATATGAAACCATAAGGTTCACAAGAGAGAGAAAACATAAAGGTCCAACATGCTACTACACAGCAGTGGAAAAACATCCCAAAATTTCTCTAAAAGCATGAGCAAAGAGGAAAATGAAAGTTATCCCTATTACATAGCACTGTCCCCTATTTTTATCAGAACTCCGTATGACAGGAGACTTAGGCGGCAGAGATCAACTTCTCCGGATCTGCTGTCTTGAACCTGGCCTTCTTCAAGGGGGAAGGTTCAGGGGATGGCGGCAGCAGCAGCAGCTCCAGCGGGGTTGTCGGGCTGAGCACAGACAGCTTCTTGTTCCCAGCAGGTGGAGGGCTCCTTGATGCATCAGCTTCACCCAGGGAGAGCATGTCAAGCACCCCAGCGTGGTCCAGGCGTGTCACCCCATCGAAAGCTGGAAGGGGTTCTTGAGCTTCTCTGAGACCCACTGGACGAATGTCTCGATCTGGGGAAGGTAATCCTTTTTGAACAGGATCATCCATTTCTTGATCATCAAGAGGATACGTCTCCAAACATGTTTAGTTTAATATCAGACCAGATAGCATTTTTAAAGGTCTTTTTTGTCAATTATGTTCGGCAAGTGGTCTTTTTAGACAAAAAATTCCACATTTCCATGATCCAAGAGCCATGACCAAAAAAAGGTCCATAAAGTGAGAAAAAGCGTGACGCTGCACTCTATTCAGCAGTAGTTTAACCGGATCGACAAAGTGGCGTGTCGTGCCGGAATGGCACGTGTCCTCGAGCTCGAGCTCGAGCTCGAAGGTCAATGCGTCGAACGACTTGCCGTGATCAGGCTCGATCAGAAGGAAATCCGTGCTACAGATGTGAGATGTCTCGTGCTCTCGCCATCCAATGCATGACTCGAGTCGTTCTCGGTTTGGGTGATGGACGCAACGACACCGACCGATGGTTCAGCTCCAGCTTCGCGTTGTGAACAAAAGGCTCTGCTGTTTCCAGAAGCCTACAGCTGCACGTAGGGATGGGCATTCGGTCCAACCGAACCGTTCGGTCCGGTTCTCCGGTCAGTTAAAAAATTCGGTTGTCATAAACTGTTGACCGATCGGTCTCCTATAGAATCGCTAACCGAGCCTTCGGTGCACCGAGAAATTCGGTTCGGTTTTGGTGGAAACCGAACAAATCGATGAGTACAGGATTGCCTCCCCGCATCCCGACCTGGGGCACCTATTCTGTATGGTCACCGTCCGCCAAGGAGAAGCAATCATGGAGCCAGGGGGAAGGAGCGACGGCGCACTACGGCAGTGCGTGTTACCTTGGAAGTGCATCTGCCGCCGGTCGTCCTTCGTCTCCCAGAACATAAGCAGCAGCCCTCGCCGTTGTCGCCGGAGCAGAGGCCGCAAGTCCCAGCCGCAAGCCCTCGTATGACTGGATGGCGGTTAGGTTTAGGTCGTGAGGGGAATCCTGAAAACGAGCCTTTTGTTTCCCGTGACCGTGAGGTTTCCAAGCGCCCGCACGGACTCCTGAAGGCTCCAGGCTTACGGTGGACAACTGGGCTGTGTCTAAATGGGGTTGGGGCGTTGGGCTGCATCGTTCCTTTTTTTTTTTGCCATCAACGTTGGCCTGCATCGTTTAATAGCTACAGTTGGACGGTTTTTTTTTCTTCGGTACTTCGGTCAGTTCGGTCAGCGGATGATTGGCACCGAAATCACCGAAATTACTTCGGTTTTGTTAAATTGACAACCGATTTTATATCTGAAATTTCGGTCATCGGTTCTTTCGGCTTCGGTCCTGGTTTTTTTGGTCCGGTCTTCGGTCCTCGGTTTTTTATGCCCACCCCTAGCTGCACGTGTGGGCTCTCCACAGCTGAGGCCAACGATTTGCTTTCTGCAGCTATTATGACTTTCTTACCGGGGCCATCGCGCAAGTATACTCAGGAAATTTGCAGTGATGCGGAGCCGCACGTGATAATTTTCTTCTTCCAAATAAAATAAAATCTTTTTCTTTTGGCAAGTCAGCAAGCGCTGATATCAAATCAAATCTCCCAGAAGATCCTGCGAGATCTTTCATAAATATATTCATTATGGCCTCCATTGCAGCGCCAAAAAAAAACCCTAACAGCTCACTGTTTCGAGGGAGTGGTTCTGCGGGCCTTTGTCTTCCGGCCTGCTTACCGGTCCAGGTACGACCCGTCCCCCTCAGCTGGCCCACCACACGCGCAGCGACAGGGCCCAACCGAGGACCCGCGGCGGCTATAAAACCCGCCTGCTCGCACACCCTCAGAGCACCTGCTCGCCCAGCAACACCTGCAGTCCTGCACCAGCCTCCCACCCACACCCATCCCTGTCCGCCGCTCCGCCCGTCTCCGCCACCCCACCACCTCCATGGCTTACTCCCCCTCCACCCCCTCCCCCGGCGCCGCCTTCGCCGTCGGGTCCTTCCCAGGAGCAATCTCCGAGGACAGCGTGTTCCCCAGACCCCCTCCGCCAACGCCTAAAGGCCACATGCCGCTCCCCTTCATCGCCGACGCCGAGCTCAATGCTCTGTTCGACCGCATGGTCCTCTCCCCGCCGGTTCCAGTCCTCCGCCTAGGCGCCCCCTCTCGCCTCAACATCCGCTCGTCGGCGACTCCGCTGGTCTCGCTCGACTCCCCTGACTTGGCCTCCCTTCGCGCCGCCGGCGACGTGGGCTACTTCCATCTCGTCGGCCATGGCATCCCTCCCCAGCTGCCATCCTCTGCACTCGCCGAGCTGTCTCGCGTCGACGCGTCCGCTATGCGCGCGTCCATCCTTTCCACGCCCGGGTTCTCCGCGGAGAATCAGGGAGTGGACGCCGGCGTCGAACCCGTCATGGTGTTCGACGTCGACGAGCTGGGGATGGACGCGCTCTCGGCGGCGCTGGAGTACGCGCGGCTGATGAGGGAGGTGGGTATGCAGGTGGTGGGGCTTTTCTCTGGGTCTGGTGGGGTGGGTTTCGGGGAGAATCCGTTCGCGGAGGAGGGGGGAAGGAAGGCGAGGTGCCTGGTGTGGGTCTCCAAGGTCGGCTCGGGCGAGCCGGCGGTGCCTCCGGCCGCCGGCGACGCAAAGGCGTATCCGTACGTCTTGGGACTCCATTGCGAGCGGGAGCAGGGAGCCGGTGCGTCGAGCTGGGTGATGGACGACAGCGGCGAGTGGAGGGCCGTAGGCGCCAGCGAGGGTGCACTCCTGGTCACCATCGGTGACATTGCTCAGGTATCGCTGCAACACCCATCTCTATTGACTTTGTTTTTATTCCCTGGGAAGTGCTTTTGTCTGATCATGATAGCATTAGATTATTTATACAGATGTGTAGTGTAGTGTAGTGTGTATACAGTCGTGCAAATCGTTCATTTCATCTACAATATTTAGCAAAGGATAAGCACAAGTGCATTGCACAACTATTTCATTCATAAGGGTATGCTTGCATTGAGCGCCCTACCAAAAGTTTAGCATAACCAAACAAAAGGCATGATCAAAATTTTGACAAGTATATAGCTTGTTTGATTGTAACTCTAGAACCTGCTAAAATATTGGAAAAAAAAAGCTGGTCTCCATTTGGTTTGCAGCAAATAACCAACATACATGCATATTGGCGCGCAATTTGGTCGCCGAATTTTTTGGTGAATGCTTTTTCCGCCGTCATTTTCCCCGCGCGTTGGTAAAAATTACGTGTGGCACCATGCAACTGTCGGCTGGCGAGCGAAAATTGGCGCGCGGATTCTACAACTTGCATTTTGCCATAATAGTAGATATGCATTTATTTCATTTTGCTTGATACAATGCACATGCCAGCCATTTTATTGTTATTAATGTGATTAATTAAATACTAAAAAAATACAATATTATTAGTATATACTTGTTGACTTACCAGAAAAACATGATTTAGCCAATAAGAGGTGGGTCAGTACTAGTTCAGCCGGTTCTCAAGGAAAAACCAGTAAAAATCAACAAAACCAAAAACGAAGGATGTGGGATAGGAGAGAAGAGATTGTTCTACTGCCATCAAATTCCAAGTCTTTTTTTTTTTAGTTTCAAAAAGAATCTAAGTCCTTTTTTTGCATCACTCTACTCAACCTGAACCAGGTCAGCTAATTAGGCCGCGTGTCTGCATCACAGCATGATTGGTTGAAAACCACATAACAAAAAGAGACAAAGTCACAAAGACCACGTCTTTTGAAAACAAAGAGGGGTCATCATGTATATATTTTTGCTGCAAAAGTACCTTTTTTTTATCAGTCTTTACGCAGTAGCAGTGACACTCATTTTGATGCCGTGGTTCTTTTGTGATGCGTTCTAGGTGTGGAGCAATGGCAAGCTGAAGAAAGTGAGAGGCATGGCTCGCCCCACTCCTGCCCCCGGCAGCGACGGTGAAGAGGGCGGGGAGCCAGCCCGCCTGTCCATCACCGTGCTGATCACACTGCCCCTGGACAGCGTCGTCTCGCCGCTGCTGCCGCTCTCTGGTGCCGGTGAAGACGGCGGCGACGTGGAAGAGGAGGAGAAGGAGGAGGTCTCTGAAGACGGTGGTGAGGATGGAGGCAGCTTTCGCCCCTTCTCCCTGGAGAGCTACGCGTGGGGGCTGTACCATGATCAGCTTGAGTCCAAGGATCCGCTTGCCCCGTACCGCATATGATTAAGCTCGTTCGTCATTGCTCTCTAGCGTTGGATTTTTGCTAGACATGTTCGATTCGTTATAGCTGGACCACAGATGTCATGTGGTCGTTCTCTAGTTCTTCGTTTGCTGGTGCACGCTGCCGTTGACTTGAGTTGGTCAGAACGACTTTGGGTAAACCATTTATTATATTATTATTATCATTATCAAATAAAATATAGTTATTGTTTGTTTTCATCAAATATAAGTATTGAGCAAGTGAGAAGATTGTTTTCCTTATGTTTGTTGGCAAATCAACTCTGTCTCTAGATGGAATTGGAGGCATTTCATCTAAAAATGGGATTGTCTTATTTTATTTTGTTTTTGACACTAAAAGCAGTAGGAGAGGCTCTTACTGTGATGCATTCAAACATATAGAAGAGTCGCGACAAGCCTTAGAAGCAGAATAGAAGCTACACGGAGTTGACAATAGACGAAATATAAAGAGGATGCTTTTGAGCAAATCTGCCTTAGTTTTTTTTCCTGTCACAAGGTTCTAATACCCTTAAGTTGAGATTGTTATGCTCCAATCTCCAAGAATAAACGTGACAGAAAGTGACCTTGGTTTTCTCAATTATAGAAATCCGCAAGGTATTCGGAGACCATTGGATATTAAATTTAGACCAACAGTTGTTGCTGGATGCAAATAAAAGATTAAATGCTCGATGATCTGTTCGATAGCAATGTAATTAATAGCATACCTAATATAATATAAAAAAAGTCCAAAAAGAAGATCCAACTAATCTCAGCCATCAATCCATGTCAATCAATGACCTGAATTGCTCCAATATTGAGCACATGTTTAGCGCACATTAAATAACATACCTAATATAAATGTTTGCATTAATCACCTACTTGACATTGCACGTACTAACCATGCCGACTATGTGGTTGGAATAGCCTCCTGGCTTCCTTCTGCCTATCCTCATTGACGATGTAAGCATTATTTACGACTTAATAAAGCTAGCCATGGTTTTTTTGCGGCAAACCATGCCCCTCAAAGAGGGCTCACCTTTATTTATTTAGCATCCCAAACAGTATACAGAGAGGAGTTTTCCAAAGCAAAAGTACTAGTTTCAAAGGCTTTCCTGAAATTACATCTAGATGCTTTGCTGCAAAGATATTCCTTTTTGGCAAGAGAATGAGCAAGGAGATTTTGGGTCCTAGAAATGTGTGAAACCTTGAAAGAGTTGGGGCAAGAAGCAAAGTTGAAGAAATCCACAAGTATGGGCCTAATCTTCCAATGTCGATTGTTAAGTAAGTTCCTTGCTTCCACATCATTAGCCAAGGTCCTGCAATCAGGAAAGAAAGAAAGAAAATTCCATCCCAAGCCTTGACCATTGAAGCCGCAAGACGCAATCCCATAGCGTCTGCCTGCAAAACTGAGAACACAATCAGGGCTACTGTTTGAATGAATATATAGTGATTGTTAAATGCATTTTTGAGGAATACTCTAAAGGTAGCTTCATTCCCTGCTACAGAAGGATTAAACGTCGCATCAACATATGCCGAGATACTTGCGGGTTGTGAAGACATATTTGTGCTTGGTGATATCTTCGAAGAAGTCAAGGGAAAATGTGCAATGCATGTACATGATTACTAGTACCTGATTCATGATTCACCAACCTGCAAAACTTTTACCCTAGGCAGAGTGCTCTCGCATGTGAGAAGATTGGAAGGAATAGTTTATACTATGAAATATAGGTATTGAGCGAGTGAGAAAATTGTATTCTTTATGTTTTCTGGCAAATCAAGTATGTTTGTTGATGGAATTGGAGGTGTTTCATGTAAAAAGGGAATGCCTACATTTATTTTATTTTTGACACTGTCAAAAGTATGAGTCTCCTACTGTACCATGCATGTTAACACATATAAAAGAGACACAATATGTTTATAGGGACAAACCCTATGCGCAAAATAGAAAGCTACACATCAAAAGTGTCATTCTCGTCTGAATTCATACGCACCTGCTATGAACTATAGAATCGATTCTTTTTTAAAAAAAATCTGTTTTTTGGCAACAAACATTGCTTAGTTTTATGAGCGTGTGTAAATTTTCGTTATGAAACGGCATTCATGGATGTGTGGGGAAAATTAAAAAAATCACCGCACCATTTTTTCTTCAAAATTAATCTATTTGGAGCATCATTTTTGTTGTATTTACCATATCCCATCACGAATTTGTGCACACATGTGAATCACTCATAAATATTTATCACACAAAAAACAGTTTTGCTTTGTTTTTTCTATTTGTTTATAGGTAATTGTTCATCAGGGTGCATGTGCACTCGGGAGCAGAAACTCTATGTCTGCTACACCTCCTTTACTTGGATTATTGCCCTTCTTTACGAATTTACTATCCAAGAAATCCATGCTTACAAAAGATGAGAAATGAAAATAAAGCCTTATTAAACACATGTAAGCAACACATGTCACTTTCCATCTCTAGAGATGCCACCAGTAGCACCCAACCTGCACGTGCGTCCATCGGCTTTCCCCATCGCTGACCGGAACTGAAGTTGCACAACAACACCAGCCTCCACCAAATGAACATGGAAGAAGTTGAACACATGGACTCCTTATGGAAAGGTGATGGAAGGTGACTCAGGTGCCAACAATTATAGTTATGAACAAGCACCACTCCATCATAGAGAGACTATAATAAAGAGGACACAAATATGCATTAGTTCTACCCTTAAAGGTGAAATTATTACACTCATTCCAAATATTCCCAAGCCACAATAGTAGAATCACAAAGACTAAATGTCTAGAGAAAGTTTCCTTTGCTTGCTCAATTGAACGAGTTTGCGAGGTATCAAAAGATCGTTAGATATGAAATTTAGAACAACAATTGCTACTGAATGTGCAACAAAAGAATAAATGCTCAATGGTCTAGAGCAATGCAATTAATGGCATAACTAATATAAATGTACATGAGTTCTGCATGAACGTACACGTGATAGAGCTCACCCATCCCATGATGCCATGTTGGCGCGTCAACCCGCTTGTCCCCTATCATATGAGAACAAGAGCGTGATGTGCATGAGCGTGAGTCGTCGTAAGCGTAGATAGGATGGACATTGCCATGAGAGCAACCTAGCCAGGACAACTCTACTCCCAACCCCACCTCCTTTTTCTCTCAAGAAAACTACCCCCAATCCCAACTACAATAACACAACCTTCTCAATGGTGAGCAGGACCATAGCATAGATCCTTGCTAGGTAGTTGCAGATGACCCCCAAAATAGCACAAAAATCTAAAACATTCAAGAATCTAAATCTCCCCGAGGAGAAAAGTATGCATCAGTGTTATCCATGAGAGCTTACTAAATTGCTATGGCCTAATCTAAAATCCCGATGGCAAGACTAATTGTGGATCGACTTTACTAGTTACCATGTCCATAAAGCAAAAGTTTCCATGCAATACACAATAAAAATATCTGAAAAATCAGCTAAACTTGACTTACCAACACAAAAAACATCTTACATGAAAAAAAAGTCAAGTGACATATATGCAGAACAAAAAAATACTACATAAAGTTGCCATGTTTTTTCACTTACTAAACCTACCACAAATTCTTCCAATGCATATATAGGTTACACATATATGCAACAAAAATCGCCACATCTTTTTTTCCATGACCCACAACATAAAACTGCCAAGTCTTTCTGTCACATGTCAAACACACAAATAGGTGCCAAAAAGATGAAAAAATACTATACATAATTGCCATGGCCCACTATTTAAAATTGTATGAAGTATTTTCAAGTACATATAAAAGTATGTGTACACGTTTATGTGGTTGCTACTTTTTGCAGCGGGTATTCGCATCATTTCGATAATTCAACGCGGCTAGGAGGTTGATGTTGATCCACATATACCTGCTCAAACAAAAAGAAAGAGTGAGTTAAAAAGGTTGTGAAATCTAGAAAAACAAGTTATTAACCTATGACACATGTAGTTAACACGAGCGAGAAACATGTCATGTTGTCCATGATAGTTTAAAGTTGTTGTCACAGTTTTCATGACAAAGGTGAAGATTTTTTTGCTTTGTTTGCACTGCCCATCCCATACCGTGGCACAAGAATAAAGAAGTTAAAAAAGTATAAGATTTAACTTTTGTTACCTCAGACCTCCACCCACTCCTTACAAAGGAGACCATTATGTTTCCATGCATGTTGCTATCAAACTAGAGATCAGGTTGCCATGGTGTCATTGCTGGAAGTTGTAAGTCACTCATTGGCAGGAAAAAGTTACCAAGAGAAGGTAGCTGCCAACCACTTTACTACCATATGCCACATTTACGATAAAAGTTGTTAGATTTTCAGTTAACACCCAATGATTTATTAAAGTGGGAACTCTATTCACTAGTTCATGGTTTTTTAGTGGCCAACGGATAAAGTTACCAAGGCACTTGACACTACCTACTAGGGGCGCTTGCATGGTAATCCCCACCCAATGTGGGGAACTTACCAAGGCACATGCACACTAACTAGTTCATGGTTATTTGATAGTCAATAGAAAGAATTGCAGGCATATTTTGTAGACAAGTTGCCATCAAGCATCCACAAGCCCCCTCCCCCCCACAACAAGCAAAGAAAAGTTGCCTCCTATAACCAATATGGAATGCCACCTTGCGAACATCATAAAACTACCACTCAAAAAACATGATTTTTCCATACCTCTTACTTTGTTGCTAGTTAGCGAGCAACATAAAACTATCACCGAGAAAGACTTCACGCCAAAGAGCTAGTGCATGACACCCAACTCACACATGCAGGAGAGCGACTTGATTTATTCAGCATGGCAATAGATAGTTTATATAGATAACTGCAATATATAGTTTTATTGAACATTTATTAATTATCTCAACACCATAAAATCAAATTTAAGCACCACACAAAAGCGCACAAAAGTTTCCATGATATAGAAAAGGAAGTACCACATGTCCAAGATTTCATATGTGTATAGCTAGCATAGAA